AAATTATGCATCAATAAAATCTATAAGTAATACATATATGTATAAATAAAAATTGAGGTAGCTGTTATATTGAAATAATTGACTTTTATTAAATTCAGGGGTTATTTCGCATGCTATTAATATAATATAGTGAATAACAATTATAAAAAAAAAATTGTTTGCATATCTGTCCGGGGTCCGGGCTAATGTTCGGAATGACTAAACCATTTGTGATGAAACTTTACGAACAGACAGAGGACAATTCCAGGACTAAGGCTATATTTCATTTTTAAAAAAACCTTATGATATTTTTAAAATGAAAAATTGATAAAACCAATGGTTTAAATTTAATATTTTTCCTCATTTTGTTGTTGACCAGAAATTAAAAATAAAACTTTAGCGCTGTACCTACCACGATTTTTAGGGGACATAAGAATAATTCATCTATTCGAATCTACAACATATACAAGCAAGTATCGCGCGGCGTAATCCAACAAAAACATAATGCACAACTATACGCAAGCCTAACAAGTTCAAACGATGCCCCCACCATGACTTCACTTCCGCAGTCGAATCGTTTCCGGCGCGCCCGCGGGCTCTTTGACATATCGTTCTTTGTTGGGACCCCGACATGTCAAATTACCTCCTGGATGACTCGTTTGGTTAGTCATATGGAAAATACACTTCGAAAAGTTAACGTACGACAAGGTTACTTTCAAGGACATAAGAAGTATTTTGTATATTAATATTATTGATAATAATCACAGTAGATTTGAAGCGACAGCCATACCCTCGTACTGGAATAGCTGCTCCCCACCTCAAGTCGATGGGATTCGGTATGGTTTTATTATATTGATTAACCACCATCGATTAGTCGTCGGAAATTATGTAGTTCGTACTCGGAAACAGCACTGCGTACCGTGTAGATGAGGTTAACATTTGGAACTTTTTCCATGTGGTTGAACCATGCAGCAGTTATATTAGTAGTATAGTTGTAGCACTAATGTGTCGGCTCGACCGGGGAAGGACCACGCTCTCACAGAATACCAGCGTAAAATAGTAGCAAAATGCTGCTGTGTTTCGTATGGTGAGTGTAGAGAACCGGAAACCCTTATTACTGGAAACGAGGCATTCCATCTTAGTCCTCACGGGTGACAACGCATTCGCATTTTGATTCGTAGTCGAGGATAGATGTAGATGTCTATGGGCCACAGCAACCACTTACCATCAGGTGGACTGTGTGTTCGTTTGTAACCCTATCCTATTAAAAAAAAAACTTAACATATAAGACAATTTGACTGTTTCGTATTCGAGTTGAAAATAAACTTATCGCATTTGTTTTCTAACATAAACACACACATCTCGAATCATGGAATATTTTTCTACACTTAATTTTTGTAAGAAAAGAGATTTGATTTAATATGATGTGTAGTCACGTCAATACGTAAGTAGTTATGTGAAATAACTAACCGTTTTTTTTATATAAAGTAGTGAACTCGCATTAGTAGAAACCGGAGTAAACTAGGAGTAAGTTGTTATATTGTTTTAATTCCAGATATTATGGTTTATTTAATTTTGCCATGTGGTGGTGACGTAAGAGAAACTATCAAAACACTTCGAATCAACTTAGAACAGACGATTTCGGGAAATGCCGGAAAACTCTCATAGCCTTCGATTCAAACGTCTGATAATTCGCTCGCCAAACAACCTACGAAGCAAGGCAATTAAAGCAAATTCTCCCTACGGTTGAAGAGCGCATGTCCAGTAGAGGACTCTTACGGTTTGATAAAGACGAAGGGAAATGCATACAAGTATCGCATACATAGCAGTATAACTATCTCGTACTTGCCACTTGTATAATACCCGATTGGCGAAGGGGTCAAGGTAGCGAGAAGTTCGGTACAAGATCTCCAATACGGATCGGCAATCAAGGCGATTGTTAGAAATCTATATAAAATGGCCTTGTATACTATTTGCGGGTTGATAAACATATATGTTTACATAATTAGATTAAAGAAACCACATGGAAGAATATGAACAAATAGTTAACATAGAATATGAAAAATTCGGACCTATATTCATTACAGAACTTCCATATTTTTTATAAAAACACAATTGAACATTTCAACCAAAAATATAAACAAGAAAGCAGCCGCTATTTAATGAAAAAACTTGTCTGGTCACAAACCATTGCTGAATGACGGTACTAGAACAACATTATCGTTTGAGTTTATTTCAACACCAACAAACAATTGTATTGTAAAATTAAACATCTGATTTTATAAACGTATAATATTTATCTTTTTTTGTATTTAAAATAAAATTATATGTATTAATGTTACAAAAAATTTTTGCGTACAAAGGATTTCAATTTTTGTTTTCAATAAAAATTAACATACACACTTTTAAAATGATGTTCATAGGTTTTGCATATTCGCTAGAGCTCAATCTCACGTTGCAACAACTTCCAACTTTATGACCGCATGAAACGTCAGAAACATGTATAGCTACACCTACATTTTGGCAGTGTATTTGTAATGCCAGGCCACCGCGTACTGTGTACGATTGTTGACGGCTAAATCTATTTTGGTTCAATTACTAATTTCTAAATTAAATTCTGAAACTTTCGGTTCAATTTCATGCTCTACCTTTGTTCTTTAAGAAAAGATATTTACAAATTTAATATTAAACGGCTTCATGTTTCTATATATGATAACCCTGCCGTGAATGTAATAAAAATTATTATTTATATTGCCTTTATATTAAACTGCCTCGTTGGACTAGTGGTTGTAGTAGTGCGACTGCTGATCAGGAGGTCCTGGGTTCGAATCCCGGGTCGGGCCAAAATATTAATTATTGAGTTTTTCCGGAGTCAGGAAATTGGCGGTGTCTCACCCCCGTGCCTCGGAAAGCACGTAAAGCCGTTGGTCCTGCGCCTGATCTCTCTTCGGTCGTGTTGGTTTACCGTCCCATCGGATTATGAGAGTGAGGGAATAGAGAGTGCACCTGTGCTTGCGCATACACTTGGGCACTATAATCCTGTCCTGCGCCGATGGCTAGCCTCCATTGAGGTAGGCCGCCGTGGCCGAAATTAGGTCTGGAGGATTACATTAAACCGATAGTTGAATAAATTGTCGTCATTTGGTAGAATACAATAAGGTTATCCAGGCTAAATTTCGGTCTCTACTGTCTAGAGACAAGCCAATTTCGCAGGATAAGATAATAACGTACGAGTTTGTGCACAAGCACAGGCGTACTGTTTATTCCCTCACTATCATAGTCGAATGGGACGACAATCCGACAAGACCGGATATAGATCCGGCGTAAGACCAACGACTTTAAATTCTTCTCGAGGCACGAAAGTGAACACCGCTACGATTCGATCCAGGATCCACACATTTATAACCACTGGAACAACGAGGCAGTTAATTGCATTCTTCCAATTTACTGCCATGCATGTAGTACGTCCAGCAGCGGGGCACAGGCCTCCTCCCATTTTTGAGAGGGGTTTTAGCTCAAGGAAGATCCACTGCGCTGCCCCAGTGTGTGTTGGTGGACATCCTACGTCTTCGAAATATTTTTTTTATTTCTCAGATATACAGATTTGAACATCATGTTATTTTCTTCACCGCCGAGAATGTAATACATAAGCATTAGTTTGCAATTAACAATTTCATTTATGCTAGCGGGATCGACCCCGGGCTGCTCCCGAAATATGAAATTTATGACGAGCGCTAATCTACTGAGCTAATATGGCTCTCAATAAATACAATATTGCATCATTATCTTCCTACGTTATTTAAAAAATAACAAAGGAAAACAATCATGATTTTTATTTTCATTTTCACCTTGATATGAATGCAAAAAATTATGTAAATACTTTTTTTTAAATATGTAAGCATGAAGATCACCGAAGAAAACATTCGCGACTTTGAGTCAGCAAAGGCCATTTGCTACGGATATAGACGATCCAAATATTTTCACGGGCGACGCTCTTGTCTGTATCGCTCAGGCAAATACAACAGATGAAATATAAGAGAAACATGTCATAAAGTTCTAAACTTCATTAGATTCAAAATGTATTATTTGCCTAAATAAAACTGTCCTCATTTTATTAAACTGATTTTAAATCATAATGTGTATCAATTTTATTTTATCGAGCGTTTTTAACATTAAGATAAAACTCTTATCTGGTAACCTTTCAATTTCAAACATATCTTTATTATCTACAAATATGAACATTGTATTTGTGTATATGTTACACAAAATAGGTAATCAACGAGATATTATATGGATTATAACAGGCATTTTTGAAACGAGTTTCTACTTTGTCCTTGCAATTTTAACATGAAAACATGTAGATTGAGCTAAAAAGTGTTGTCAACATGTTGTGAGAATGTAAATACAATAAATAAACACTTCAAAGTCGTTGTAGCTTCTAGCAATAATACAACTATTCAGTATTGTCAGTTTTACTACGGTATAAATTTAGCAAAAAAAGGTATTTTAAATTCAAAACCTCATATTGTCACAACAAGATTAATTTGGCAAACAAAAAGTTTGATAGAATTTCTTTTTCTTATATGAAAACTACATATCGATACATCGAATGGAACTATATATACAAATTAATTGAGTATAATGGTATAATATGACGTCACCAAAGGACGACCCTCAAAGGGTCATTGCAGAATATTACATCAATTTGTCTTGTAATAATGTAATAGAATACATTTTAATCCAATATTACCCAAATGTACACACTATAAACTTTGCGTATAAAGTATAATTTAAATGTCTTACCTCAATTATTTTTTCTCACAAACTTGTTTTCTTCTTATATTTAAAAAGTATTTTAACATTTTTTTAACATTAAAGTAAAAAAGCATAATTCATTAATAAAGTTTGTAATGAACAATGAACACTCATGCAATGCAAACAACAGCATTATTCTACACACTCAAAAATACAAGACGGTTATACGTCTAAATACTGACCAAAGCACAAATTTATTAGTTCTCTTAATCATTTCTCAACAATCGAAAAATTTGTCTACCAATCGCTAGCACTAGTATCATCACTGCACACAAAATAACAACATGCGTAGGTCTTTCTTCACATTCAGACTCACCAGAGCTTTCTGACTCCTGCTCCTTATCATTAGCAGTAAAACTAACAAACTCTTGTAAATGACTTGGTAATTTATAAACATCCTTTTCTTCACCAGCTTCAATTACTTTTATTTTATGTTCAATCACTTTTGGTTCCCTATACATGTTTCTCATATTATATCTTTCATCTTCGCTCTCAGGATCCTTAATACCAAGTTTGTTCCATCTTTCTCTAGCTTTTAATATAAACTCTTCTTCTATTCGATTATTAACACTTGAATCAAGAACATCCAATGCTGACATGCTCTTTGAAATACTTTTGGCATTTGCTGTCGGGCTGTTTGTGATTTTTATAACCTTGTGATGTTTTCTTTGTTCTCGTTCTGCGATTTCATTTCTATATTCAGAATACATTTTATCTCGAAGAATTTCTTCTTGACTGTTGCTAAATAAAGAATATTTTTTTTCTTTTATTACCTTTTCTGGAATATGAGTTTTCCAAAGTATTTCATCTTTTATGTATGGTTTGTGGTAAGTTTTTGTCATTTTTTCTTTGTTAATTTCTTTTTTTTCAATCATTGGTGCTCTTGGTGATTTTTTTACTAGTGGTTTAAATTTTTCCTCTTCAAGACGACGAATTTCAGCGTCAACTTCTTTTTCTTTTTGCCGTATATATTCCATTTGTTGATCGCATATATCTTGAGGTAAAGACGGTCGACGTGGACTTTTTACTTCATTATCTCGGTTTTTAACATCTAAGTAATTTTTATGCATGCTTTGTATAGTGGATATATCGTCTTCTATCTCTTTATTTAAATTACCAGTAGAGAAATGAAAGAATTTTCTTTCTCTTTTCATAGATTTTAATGATCTTTCTGCGAAATTAGTGTTGACATCACTGTCGTAAAAAGAGGATAACAGTTTTTTTGGCCTAGGAGGAGGAATAGGCTTAAAAACATCTTGAGAACTTGCTACACCAGACCCTTGATTAGTATACTTTCTATAAGATTTTGTGGGTTCTATTTGTATTTTTGATGTTGAATCTGATTGTTTTTCACTAAATTTATTTAAATGTCTTGAAGTTATATTACTTGTAATTGTAGGATCACAAATTAAAGCTAATAAACGACTACCTGTTTGAGATTTGAATGGTTTTGTACTAATAATTTCAGTACACTCAGTGTGTATTGCATCCTTACGATCTACACAATTTTTTCTTGGATCTACAACTGGTGAATCATTTTCTTGTGCTATAACTGTATTTGTTTTTTCCATTAGCATTTTTTGTGAAGGCGATAAGCAAACGTATGAAGTTGTCGTTTTTTCAGAAATTTTATGATCTTCCTTTGATTTTTTCAAAGATGAGTGTCTTGGTTGTACTGGTGGTGGAGGTGGGGATGGTGGCGAAATAATATTATTTACATTTTTTATATGTGAATTATAATTTTTGGTGCGTTTAGTCGTTTCTTCGAACGATGAGGTAGATTGTGCGCAATCAGATTTTCGTATTTTACTATTACTTGTGTTTTTACTAATTTCTTTTGTAAATCCAGACGCAAGTGTGTTCATATTTTGGAGACGCAGGGATACGTTAGCGAGTTCTTCTAATATCTTAAAACCATAAGGAAGGGACGAAATTCTCTCAACACATATATCTCGTAGCTTTTGCGGTTGGCTTTCTTTGTTATTAAAGTCATATTGAATTGGAGTAGGTATTCCTATTGCATATTCAATAACATCATTAACATGACTCTCTGCAGTAGATTGTCTTGATCCATCTTTTAAATCATTACTATTGTGATATGATTCTTCATTATTATTACAGGAAAATTCGTTAAGTAGTGATGAATTAGGATTGTAAATAGCTGTACACTGTGACGATGATACACTGCTTGAAGAGTCTTGTCGTGTTAAAGAATCTTTGGAATTTTCATTAGCACTTTCTGAATCACTTACTTCTTTAATTAAATTATTTATCGCATCATTTAGTTCACATTTTAAAACCTTCATTTCCAAGTCAAAATCATAATCGTGTTTGACCAGTTTGAGTTCACTATCAGTATTAATTGAAGCTGATTTATGTTTTGTAATTTCGACACTTGTCAAATTATCATGTATCATCTCACTTTCGTTTATATCTTTCACTATTAAATTTGTTTTAAAATTGTCTGTGGGAAGTACTTCAATCTCATGTCTGGATTGATCCATAGCGTCGTTTCCGTCCTGCTTGTTTATATTACTTAACATCGATTCTTTAGATGCAGTAAAGTCAGATCGCTTCATAGGATTAGTAGTATCTCTATTGTTATTAGAAATAAATGTTTTCTTAAGAAAATTTTCTGTATCTGTCACCTCTATTATCGGTGTTATCATACGTACAGATGCATCAGTTTCCTCCTCTGTTTCTATATTGTCATCAACATCGTGAATTGAGCTGGTGCTGCTCGAAGAATCAGTTAGATAAACAACTTCTGCACCTGTCATTTTCTCAACTGTTTGAATTGTCCAATTACCTCGAGCTTCACATATTTCAGGCTCTTTTAGTTTTGTGCCAACAAGTAGACATTTTTGAGGTATTTGTTTTGCTGATGGTTTTTTCCTTACATTATTATTCGATTGCATACCTGTGATTTTTTTCAAATTAGATTGTTGACTGGGTTTCTCAAAAACGTCATCTTCTAAGTCATCATTATCACTTTTTTTATCACTTAAATAGGAGTGACGACGAGACTGAATAGAAGATTCACCACTGCCTTCTTCATCAATTACGTCTAATAGTCTTGGTGGACCTAGTCTTTGACTAAAAGCTTCCTCTGTAAGTCCCTTTTTTCTTAACCTATGTCTTATTTCACTATTTATAATTTGTTCTATTTCTGTTTTAATTTCTATAGAATTTGTTGGGTGAGTTGCTAAATTCAATGTTTGTAAATAGCGTCTAAGAGATTGTTCATCTTCGGAACTCAGCAATTTAGGTTGTTCACAATGGGCAACAGTGAGTGGTATTGTTGTAATAGATAACGTACCTGTAATAGGTTCCTCGATTTTGGGCAGATTATTTTCTTCAAGGTCCAATGTTTTTTCCCACTCTATATCTGAACAAGTATCTAAAGCTATAATTGAATTTTGTAATGGCATATTATTGTCTTCAATTATTTCAACAATTCTAGGAGATTCATCATCATCAACGCTTCTACTTTTTTTGCTATTTGATAACTTTGATTGGCTTTTATTTGATTGATCTGGAGATTCGACGGTATATGTTTCTAATGTGCAAGAAGTTTCTTGATTATCTGAAGATGTATTTTCGACGCATAAAGAAGGACTATCACATTTTTCAACAAAATTACAAGGTTCTTCCAAGTAATTTTTACTATTACTTTCATTTAATATCATCTTGTCATATTTATTACTTATACAAATATCATTTGATTTATTCGGTATTAAACTGATTCCTGGATTACTTAGTTCTATATTTGGATCAAAACTACCTTTTACTTCCTCAGTGACTTCTTTTTCATTAGTTTTAATACTGGTATTTTTATTAGGAGTGATGTTATTTATACTTGGATCAACGTGAACATTCTTATTTTTGCGTTTGTTTTTATTATTTTTACGTCTTTTGGGTTTTTCAGGCATATTTGTTACAAAATCACTTCACTTTAATCACTTTCATTAAAAAATCACACACACAAAGTACATAAAGTATAACTGACAGATCAGTAGTAAGCGTCCAGCGATACCGGTATCTGTTACGTAGGAGTTGTAGATTTGTTATTACGGTATGTGCGGGCGTTAATGTTAGGGATTTCGTGACGTTCACTAGTTGGGTAACGCAAGGGCTCGCGTGAACACGTCTAGTACTGATTAAAACGTTCAAGAATGTTAAATCTTTTTACACGAGCGGCAACCAGGAGCGGCAGTCGTGCGCTCGTACTGCGATTTACTAATAATTATAAATGGGTTTAAAGTACACGAGCGCACGGCGCAGACTTTATTTTTACGCGGAGACGAATACGCGAGTGGTGCGTGCGCGCCGGTCCGTTCTCGAGCACGAGGGGCGTCTAATGCTACTGGCCGCATCGCACTAATCTATCTATATACCATCTATATTATCAATAAACGCTATGTAAATTTGTTATTGCTAATTAATATTGCATACGCACCGCTATTCCATACACGGGGTGTATAACGGAGGTAAACTTAAAACACAATAGCCGGTCAACGTATATGGAGTTGAACGTAACGTGAACCAAATTGAAATCGAAATTTAATTTAATTTACACTCAATCATAAAAACCTTCATCACAGAACTCTCAGAGTCTTCTACAAACTGATGATGTAACGTAAATAAATAGATAAATCATTTATTCGCAAATAAACACTGCACACAATATACAGAGATAAAAAATGTGTTAAAAATTTAAAATTATTATTAAGGTTGTGAGAGGTGCCATTGTAAAATGGTCCTAGCTCAGCATAATGCTGTGGAACTTTACAACGCTGTATATCCTTTTTTTATAGGATTAGGGTGACAAACGAGCACACACTCCACCTGACGGTAAGTGGATGCAGTGACCCATAGACATCTACATTTAACCTCGATTAAGAATCAAATGCAGATGCGTTGTCACCCTTGATGACCAAGATGGAATGCCTCGATTCTAGAAAAACGGGTCTCCGGTTCTCTACACTCACCATACGAAACACAGCAGCATTAAGCTGCTATTTTACGCTGGTATTCTGTGAGAGCGTGGTTCTTCCCCGGTCGAGCCGACCCATTCATTCTACAACCATAATACAGCTGCAGCGTGGCTCTACCACATATCTATCCTACTAGGACCTTAAAAGTGCACGTAAACCAGCTGTTGCAAGTATTATATATTGACCCCCCCCACCCTTTAATTTACCTATATACAAAAATAAAAAAAAAAAAAAAAAACAATAACTAAAAACAAAAAATCATTAAAATTTAAAAAAAAAGAAAATTACATATTCATAAACAATTTTTTCCCCCCCCCTCAAACCCCAAGTTAAACCCGGTTACCAAAAAAAAAAAAAACCTTTTTTTCACAACAAAATTAAATTTTAATACGATTCAACCACGTAAAACCCCCCCCTCCCCCCCCCCCCCAGGTAAAACCCCCAAAAAAAAGAAAAAAAAAAAAAAACAAAAAAAAAAAAAAAAAAAAAAAAAAAAACATTACATATTCATAGGTACATTAGATTAATATGAGAAAGTAAAAATATAACACATTTTTTAAAGAATATACATTGGATTGAAATGTTTGCAAATAAAGTAATCGTTATATCACAGCTAGCTATTTAACCGTATTTAGAAACTTTTACTATTTATAGGTTCGGTAGTGTAAGTATTATTAAATACGTATACGTATACATATTTAACAATACGAGTATTTTACTAACACAACGACGTTCCTCAGCACGCAAACCTAGTTATAGGAATTTCACATTATTAATAAGATTCATAACTTTTTCCATCACTATCTAACGATAACGGCTAACATCGAGTCATAAATTAAGCTTATAACATTGTATTATTCTATCGGAAGATATAAAGAAGAACTAAAGTTCTGATTAAAAATACCCACCTTATTTCAGTGTAACGACAAAAGACAAAAGACCTTTGTTTACATAAAAAAATATTTGCGACTTAAAAAACATTATAATGGTAGTGTAAGAATATCCAACAGCCCGTATGGTCCCATGGGTTTCGTCAGAGACGACAAAGGGAAACCGAAGCGGGAGATGGGCAGGAACATCTTCCTGATAACAACCCAAAATAATGAAATCGAAGGCGGTTGATCCGCCTGCCAAGCGTGGCACTTATGGCAAAATCCCCTCAATAAGGCAATCTATGTAGGAGGCTTTGAAAAGTATAGTTTTAGCTGACTTTAACTATTTCAGTGCCTGGATGACCGAGCTTTGACAGGTGTTTTTTTTTTGGAAATCGTGTGTTTTGGAAATTATATTTAGATACAAATTACATACTGATGAAATATGAATAATATTTTTTTTCTTACCGACGTAATAGAAAAAACTGAACTGGTTATTTGAATAAAAAAACATGAGTACAATTATTTTTATTTTTATTTTCGTGTTTTTAAAAAAGTACTAAAAAGGGTTCGAAATAATAGATTTTCCCGCAAAAGAGGGAAATTGAAAGAAAAGAAAAAAAAGGCGACCCGAAGACAGGACTTGAACCAGTGTATTACGATTTCACGACCGCCGGACCCGATATTCCATTTACGCTATTATAATCATTAACTCTTTGTCCAAATTTACGTTCTTATTCCAATGATATTGCCAGAAAACACAGATAAAACGATATTTTCTAAAAATGAATCCTAGCTAGATCTATTTATTACCCCCGAAACCCTCGTTTCACGGCTCCACCGCTTCCGAGATTCCGATTATATATATATATATATATATATATATATATATAAGAATTGCTCATTTAAAGGTAAAGGATACTCTGTATAAATATTTCAATTAATATTTACTGTTGTCGGCTTGACAGCGCAGTGACTATGCGCTTAGTTAGCAGCCGTGGTTCGATTTCCGTACGGAACAATTATTTCAGTTGCCTGCAAATAATTATTCCAAGTCTGTTCAAGAGTGTCTGAATGTCTACGAGCAATTTAAGAACGAAGAAATCCTCCATGACATAAAGGAATTATTGATAACGAAAGTGTTTTTTAGCGATCTGCCCCGGCTTCGCACGGGTGAATTCTACAATTGCGCCAACTACTGGGTCCAACTATGCCTATAACCTTCCCGCGAATACAAGCAATATGTTGGACAAAGTTTTATCGCAATCTGGTGAACAGTTTGATAGCGCATAAAATACGAAAAAACAAATATTAATTTTTACTTATTAGTTCTAATTAAAAAACTTAAAACGTAATTAAAATAAAAATTGTATTTGTTTCATTTACATATTTGTTATATAGCTGTTTTATTACGTGGTAAAGCCACGCTGCAGCTATATATTATGGTTGTAGCACGAGTGGGTCGGCTCGACCGGGGAAGGATCAGGCTCTCACAGAATGCCAGCGTAAAATAGCAGGTTAATGCAGCTGTGTTTCGTATGGTGAGTGTAGAGATCCGGAGACCCCTTTTTTACTGGAAACGAGGCATTCCATCTTAGCCCTCAGGGGTGACAAGGCATCTGCATTTTAATTCTTAATCAAGGATAAATGTAGCTCTATGGGCCACAGTATCCACTTACCATCAAGTGGACTGTGTGCTCGTTTATCACCCTTATTCTATATAAAAATATTGTAAAGTTTAATATTAAATCGTTAAAAGGGATATAAGATATTATATGACTATAATAACTTTTAAAGTAGTCTCTGTATAGGTCTCGCATGTAGGTCTTCAGGTCATCAAGACTGATTGACCACTTCCAGTAGTGCAACCTACGTGTATACGATAACAAGGTACCAATTACGTGTATACGATAGCAAGGTACCAATTACGTGTATACGATAACAGGTACTATAGTAGTATATTTTTACTATAATTTAGTAGTATATTTTTAAATTATATTGTATTAAGAACATAAGTGTGCGTTAAATATTTTGTGCCGATATAAGAAAAGGATGGTATGGAACTAAAGAACTATATTTTTTTATTCTTGTCGCAAAATTGTTGACTATCTTCTTATATATAAAAATCAATTACCTACTGTCCGTTTGTCCCGCTAAAACGCAAAAACAGCTTGACTGATTTTGATGAATTTTTTTGGCGCTGTTGTCGAAATTCCAAAATCACCCGTGAGAACCCGGGTCTGATCGCTAGTTATTTATAATTATAAAAACATTCATTCAATTTTTGATTTGTAGCTGATTATTTGATTTATTTATGGGCTAAATATGCAAGTGTCATAAGCATAATAAAATTTAAAATCAAAGCCAATTTTTAACTGCACCTTGTGGATTTCTAGTTATCGTGATACAATGATGAAAATCGGTTGATGATACGGGCATACTTTTTGCTACTATCGAATAAAATAATTAATCACTTTAGTTGTTATAAATATACCAAATCCCGGGAAGCCGGGAAAAGTCCTGCTGGTTGGTTTTCTTGCTGTTTCTTCCCAGAACAGACGTTTCTTCCCAACCAGTGGTAAAGCTAAACAATACTATCAAAAAGTATTCTTGTAATGTATTTATTGAATGAAAATTATTTTATTCTATACTGATTTTCGACGTTTCATCACACGCAACAACCATTCATTCCGTATCAAGCTTCAATCATTTGAAAACTCATTAAAAAAAAACGAAATTCAAGCCATGATTTTTTCTGTAGAGAAGACAGTTTGTGGGACACCATTTGCTAGTTTATAGACTTGCAGCTTTACGGAATTGGGTCAATACTGAACGTTTGCAATCGTTTACGACGTATCCGCTACTACTACTACTCGCAATTCCTTGCTCTTCGAGAGGAGATTTCCGCTGTGGAGGAGAGGGAAAAAGGTGACCCAGTTTTCTACATGGACCTCCTTAAGTGATTTATCGCTTCCATCTATGGAATTGATAAACTTCTCTTGTGAGTTTAGCAATTTTAGTGCTGTGTAAGGAAATGTACGCGCCTCTCCATGTATAAAGGGG